AAAAATCCTGTAGCTTCAAATAAACCCTTGCCAGCTGACATATAATTATTAGGAAGTTTTGTTTTGTGCCATTCAGATCAAAAGTGCATCTTTTTTGTCTTCAAATGTGAATGAAAGCCCTACATATCCTGAATATAGCAAAGAAACACTGTGTTTAAAATGTTCCTGTTTCATTTGTTATTCTGTAAGCCAAAGAGGGGACACATTGTAATTAACAATACTCATTAACTCTGCATAATAAGAACTTCACTTTTTCAAGGGGTAGCTTGTTCCATGAAATTGTTCTTGAGAATTTTCATTGTGTTTTAGGATGAGCTGAAAGATCATTGCTTTTCTTGAATATATATTTATCAGTAACCATTTCAATTTGTTGTATATATAAAGCAGTAACAATCTCTCTTTGGAGCTGTAGCTGATATTTGAAAGATTTGCAAAGAGACAGAACTGAAAGAGGGATTAAATAGATGCACAATACAAAGCTGTGCTGAAAAGAAAAGCCTTAAAAAGATTCTTTTTAAGGGACAAAAAGAAACTACCTTAAACAGATATGCTTGACACAATCAAATGTTAGATGGAAGACACAGAAAAAGTGAGAATGTATACAAGTAATCAAGGTCAAAAATATCTGGCAGTTACCATAAAGATGATAGAATATACTGTGGAACATGAACAAATGTTTATATGCCATAGTACATGTAGTATGTATTTCATAATACCTTTTATATTATAATACTTATATACTACTTTATGAAGTGGAAATCACACTAACAATAAGCAAATAAGATTTACATGCCAATAAGAAAGCTGTGATATATAAACTGCAGCTGCAAGCAGCTTACAATAAGAAAAGATCAATTTATATGAACAGAAAATCACAATAATACAAAGCGAAGTTTAATATTATTTCATATTTGTAGTTGAAAAGATCTTCAGAGTAAGATTTTAATGCAAGTTCTTATTTCTGGAAGCCTCACTTTATTTCATTATTCCCTCTTCCCAAAAAGGTATCATCTAAGTTTACAATAAAATCCTTTAAAAATTGCTAGCTCATTTGGTTAGTATTTAGAATCGCTGCTGTTTATTTTACCACTTGTACTACCTGACTGAAACCTTTTTCATGTTTAACCCACTTTTTCCCCACATGTGCCTCATTTTAACTACTTAATCCTTGCTTAGATAGAGGCTTTTTGTGGGCCAGAACTGATAGAACAATTTAAGATTGAATCCTTCCCCCTTATGGACTGCAGGCAGCAAAGTGTAAATGAGAGCTAATGAAGATGCAGCTGACTAACCTGGAATTTGGATGAGAAAAAATGAAGGTCATGTAGATGAATGTGATTGCCGTGTAGTTGTGATGGCTCAAACAGGTCTAATGCTTTTATTAAAAAGAATTAGTACCATGCCAGGCTTATGACAGCAGGTAGTGGTAAATCGAAAGAGATGGAAATCTTAACACGCTCATAAATCAGAAACTATCAAGAATTTGATAATTTCTTATGTTTCAATGATTTATAGTGGAAGCTAGGAAAGAGGCATTTAGAGAATGCTAAATAGATGGTGCTATAGCAACTATGGTAATTTTTAGGGGTAGATACTTGATCATGCTCTTGTACTGTAAACAGCTGAAAAGATTTGCATTAACTTTATCCTGAGATCACTGTGGGCTTTATATGAAATCCTGTACTTAGAATAAGCATCTATATTTGCCTTCATTCTGGTATCACTGATGTTGGAAATATCCAGGAAGGGCCTTTCTCGGCTCCAGTGTTTCTAAGAAAGCTGGAGATTGATTAAATTTGAGCATGGTTCATCAAAATAAGCCTAATTTCCTCATTTATTTTAATTATCAGAGATTTCCACACAAAGCCTGTAAATTATATTGCCTGTTTCTATTGCAACGTCCTTTTGATCAATAGTTGTCAGGCACCTTGGTTGTGAAACCAGACTGACTTAATGGGACTGAATTTGATTTTAAAAACTCTTTTTTTATTTAATTTTTTTTCTTTTTTCTTCTTTTTTTTAAAAAAAACCTCAATTTCATTAAGATTTTGGGGCAGGTTTATTTGTTTTTCTGTTCTCTTCTGTAATTTTTTTTTTTTTTACTGAAACTGTTTTCAATTATGTTTTTGGTATCTCCTTTTAGGAAACGTTCTCCAACTTGATTCCTTTGAAAATTAGCTTCTTCAGTCATAGATTTTTATTAATAATTGTTCTGAAATAAACAAAATACACTTTCTTGAACTCCAAAGCATTCCCTCAACAATACTCAGCTTCAGTTTTCTTTCAAGTGAACAAAACCAGCACTGTACACAACCTATTCCACTTTGATTGGGTTGGTTTCTCTGTTGTGGATATTTAATAGCCAGGAATTCCTAAAAGGACTATGGCTTGGAAGAGTTTGCTCTTAGAGATGTTAGGATAATTAAAGTTCTCCATCATTACTACTTTATGTCTCTCTCTGAAATATCTGTAATTTACTTCTGAACAGCATAATCCACACCTTCCTTTTCCTGAGCAACATATTGCTTTTATTATTTCCTTCCCTTATTTTAGCACAAATTTTGTCTGTAACATTGCCAGGATAATTCACTTGGATTTCTGAGCAAGTATCGTTTAACAACGAATGCAATTCCCTTTTTCCTATTGCTTCTGCTGCTTTTGAACAGATTGCTACACTCCAATCAATTGAATCATCTCACATGGACAAGCAAGAAGGGATACAGCTTTAAAGTTGTATTTTTACTTGCTATAGTCCAATGTTAGATATTGTCTAAACAACGTCATCCAGAGTGGATGACATAAATAAAATGTTGATGGCCTTGACTAGCGTTGAAGAAAATTCTATCAAATCCCTTGTCCATGTCCCTAGGAAGCAGCATAAAACAAAATCCGAGGGCCTGCCAGCACATATCTGTTTCTGTTATTTATGTTAGTAAGATAGTAAATTGCCAACCATCATAGCTCTTCTTGCAGGGCACAAATCACTTATTTTTGATTCTGCAGGATCTACCTTCTTATCTGTTGTTTAGCAGTGTCTCTTTTTCCTTCCATGAAGCTTAGACTCTTGATATTTCTGAAGGGACATCTAACATATTCTGAGTTCCAATGGTGAAGAATATGTTTTATAGTTATTGATGGTTACCCTCCTCCACTTGGTTTGCTCTTTATCTTCATATTGTTATAGTTTCCCTGTCATCGCCAGTTTTAACACCTCCTTTATTTGGTTTAATAAACATGCCCTTTTTTATCAGCTGAAATATGGCCAGTTGCTATTACATTCTTCACTCACTGTCTTCAAGCACTAGTGAAAGTGCTTCCATTTGCTGCACAGTGGTGTTTAAGAGTTTCTGAACACTTTTGAATTTTCACTATTTCTGGATAAGTATGACCTAAAACGTGATCTGTCCTCACATCCCAAAATGAGATAACCTCATTAAACATTGAATCAAAAACATTATACTTGTTCATTGAGTTGGGAAAAAGGATCCAAAGCTACAAATTTGTGTATACCTCTAGGATTATTAGTTCATTTGAAGAGGAAATGAGAATCAGCTGTTTCAATCAGTGGAATAATAATCAGGTGTGAGTGTGGGAGGCTCTGCTTTATTTAAAGAACAGAATTCTGGGTATGCTGTCAAGTGCCAGGGAAATCAGGAGATCCAGGCAGTTCAAATGGGTATAGAGATTTATTAAACTCTCTGCAAGAATCTGAACTATTAATGGTCCAAGCAAATTGACAAGTAGACAAGAGTTCCAGGAATTCAAGGTGGGCTGGATGTAGAACTTTTGTCAGCAAGAAGTGATTCATGACTAATGATGAGTTTGACCCCACCCTTGAGCTCAGCCTGGTCATTTCTTCACAAAATAGGTATGTGGAAATGGGTCAGGGCTCAAACAAAGGAGATTTCTGAGACTTCTGAAATCTTGACTTACAACCATTTGTTTAGTGACCGTCTGAAATCACAATGGCACTGAAAAAAGTGAGTCATGACTGTTTTTCACACTTACGACTGTTGCAGCATTCCCCCATGGTCATGTGATCAAATTTTCTATGCTCATATTTATGACAGTTGCAGTGTCCCGGGGTTATGTGATCAACTCTTGCACCCTTCTGACAAGCAAAGTGAATGGGGAAGCCAGGTTCACTTTACAACCGTGTTACTAACTTAACAATTGCAGTGATTCACTTAACAACCGTGGCAAGAAAAGTCATAAAATGGGGCAAAATTCATTTAACTGTCTTGCTTAGCAGCAAAAATTTGGGGCTCAACTCTGTACGTTGAGAACTACCTGTAGTTCTTGATCCTGGAGATACACCAGTTATTGAAAGCAAAGGTTTTCATACTTTTGCCAAACAAAAATATATAGCTTTGGATCATTTTCCTTAATAACTCAATGAGCAAATATAATTTTGACTCATTTGCTTAATTGGTTCTTTATCTATTTTTAAGACTTGTGTGGAGAACAGATCGTGTTTTAGGTCATATTTATGCAAAAGTATTGAAAATTCAAAAGTCTTACAAACTTTTAAACACCACTGTAAATACATGGAGGGCTCTTTTTAGGCAGGAATACAATCACCACCATAAAAAAGGTGCCGCCAGTGAATAACTTTTATTCTGCTCACATTAGCTGAATACATATTGTCAATTTAAACAAAAATTGAAGGGGCTCCCCTTTGAATTCCCCAACTGAGCTTCAGTGCCAAACTCCTTTTTAACTATCCATAAATACACATTGTAGCTCAGGATTGCTTAATTGTTTTCTTGCAGATGTTTCATTACCGACCTAGGTAACATTATCAATGCATGTTATCTAGTTTGGTAATGAAACATGTGCAAGAAGACAACCAAGCTCAGAGTGTAGCAACAGCAACAGTACTTAAGACTTATATACCAGTTCACAGTGCTTTATAACCCTCTCTAAGCGGTTTACAGGGTCAGCATATTGGCCCCCAACAATCTGGGTCCTCATTCTACCAACCTCAGAAGGATGGAAGGCTGAGTCAACCTTGAGCCGGTGAGGATTGAAGGAATCGAACTCCTGGCAGTGTGAGCAGAGTTAGCCTGCAATACTCCATTCTAACCACTATGCCACCCTGGCTTCTGATGTGTACCAAGGATTCTACACAATTTTTAAATTATTTGTAATATCTACATATAGGTGCCCCTCTTTTAACAACTCTGGGTGGCTTGCATGCAACAAAACAGTAAAAAATAGTATAAATGGTATAGAAAGCAACAGCAATCTATATACTACTTAAAACTCTCATGTCTGTAACATTTAACTTGGTGAAGGGCTGCATCACAGAGTAGTTTTTTTTTTCAGCCAAGGTACCACAAATTTACAGAATGCATTCAAAATCTGGGAGCCATAACTCCTACGGAATTAAAATTTGGTAAATTTTATAAAACATTTTATGACATAAAAATCATCATAAAGCATTTTATGACACAATATAAAGTGTCATAGGACATTTCCTGTGGTCAACTCTTGATGTTTGATGGTGCTATAGAGTTCAACATGGGCTGTTTTCAAGGCAGATACACCCATGGATTTCTTCATGAGTTTTCTAATGAACTTTTTAAGTACATTAGAAGCTCTGATATTGATGAAGGCATTGAGGAATCCAGCAAGGAAATATCTCTGAAATGATGACCCAAGTGGATCACAGGTTGTCTTGTCAAAAAAAAAAAAAAAAAGCATGGTAGGACAGCGACACTTCTTCGATGCACCCACCTTCTCATCCCACCTATCCCAACACCTGGGAGAAGACCCAGGTTTTAAGTATTCTCCAGAAGGATAGAAAGGTAGGAGCCTGCTGGATCTCAGGGAGGAGAGTGTTCCATAGGGCATGGACTACAGCAAAAAAGTAGGCCTCCAAGGTCCCACAGATGATAATGTTTAAGTTAAAAAAAAGAAGAAGACCTGAAGTGTGCCCACTCTATCTGCTCAGGTAGGACAGATAGATATCCTCAGGGAGAGGCAGTCTTGCAGATATGTGGAATATACAACATTTTTGGTCAACGTTTCTCTTGTCTTTTTCTTCTGCTAAACTCTATTGTCAAATTATTGTTAGCTCTGTCTGTTTACTTATATTATTCGCATCTGTGTCTCTTACACACATTACTTGTGGGCAAAACAAAAAATGTTATTTTTTCATATCTGCACTGTAAGGTGAGTACAAAGAATGTTTTTTAAAAAGCTGCTAGAAGAGTACTATGATCCCTATCAATTTTATTTTGCATAATTTGTGATTCGGTAAGTATAATCACTTCATAGTTACATTTTAAACCTATTTTGTTTTTATCTAATTTTACTTAATTCTTTTCTCCAGGTATGTCCAATTATTACAGCAATGCAAGGTAAAAGTGTTAATCCTGTAGAAGTGTTAATTTGTTGTTTTACTTTATTTTTAATATAGCAAAATATCAAGGTCTCCATAAACATTAATGGAGTTTTAAACATGGAAACAGAAAAAAAAATAAGAGCTGTTTGACAGACAAGTATGTACAGGATTTTTATTTTTTAATTATTGTTTGCAATTCCTGTTAAAGATCGACAGCACTCTCCCTGCCACTTATTCAGTCCAACTGTGTTTTTTTTTTTTTCATGGCTAGCATAATTTATCCAGAGTTTTCCCTACTGAAACTCTAGATATTCTTATACATCAAATTACCATTCTACATCTGTCTGAATTGGGTAGATATGCATTCAGATAACATACAGCTTTCCTAGACATTAGAAAGGGCAAGCACAGCTGAAGGGGTCTGGCTATATTAAATAGAGAAAAAGAAGCATACCACAAATGGCCTGATAGGATAAGAGCTTTTAATGACTTCTGGGGTTTCTGCCAATTCTACTTTGTCCCTGCCTGCACTTGGCATATTCTGCTTCCATCCCTAAACCTGTATAATTTTTACATGAGTATCATAGGTCATTTCTGCTTCATCTTTCCAGAGAAAATATTATCTCAGTAAGCTGCTTTATTACATCATTTATCTGAGAACTGAAGAGCTTGTGACAGATTTCTGCCAGACCCGTTCCTCTGGAGATGTAGATGCCTTAGTAATATACACTTAAACTGCTGAAGTTCAACAGGTGAAGGAACCAGGTGATGCTAATCTTGAAACGTAAGTTTAGAAAAGTAACTCATTCAGAATCCTGCAATTTGCTAGCTCCAAAACAGAAGGGGCATCCTTAATTAGCTGTATGGATATAAAAGTGACAACTTATCTGTCATGATACCATTGTGCAAAGGATATAACTTGGAATTTACATCATGGTATCTGATGCATGTATTTAGGCCATGTCATGATGTCATTTGACCCTTTGCTTCAACCACAGATGCCCTTCAACATAACTCATTTTGATCAAGGTTTAAACTCTAAACTTTTTAGCTTCCTGATGGATGTTTAACCATCCCTTTTGGATTCCACAATTCCTTATTTCTTCAAGCACCCAAAACATCCATCAGGAAGAAGTAACATTGTTGGGGGTATTGATGGCACTATGGGTGTAAATGTGGGGGGAAAGCAGATCTGGTTCTTATGTTAATGTCACTGTCCTATTTGTTCTTGCTGTTTGTCAGAATCTGCTCAGGTTGGGAGGATGTTTATATGCAAGTATTGGGTGCCACCAAGTGCCTGAAAAAAATGCACTGCTATTGTCCAGTATGGGTTACAGTTTATCCATAATGTGTTTGGGGGGCTGGAGCTGTAAGCTGTAGGTCATGACCTGTTCTGTTTTCGTGGTCTGCCTTTCTGTCTAACAAATCACTCAAATGTGGAAGTAGTCACTGAAGGTAACATTAAACAGGATATTTAGCTCCCGAAGAGTACAAAATAAAGAAGAGATGCATTTTTGTAATCAATATGAATTATATTTACCCAGATCCTGGCCTGGTTTATTATCTAAAACTGTTATATCAAAATCATCAGATCCTTCATTAATTCCATTTTGTATAGTGGCTTTGTGCTACTTGTTTTTTGTTTCTACTCTGCCTAACTCAGGGGTTCCCAATCAGGGGTGCTCGTACCCCCTGGAGGTGTGAAACGATATTTCAGGGAGTGCAAAAACTTGGGTTTTCAAAATTATAGTGTATATGCATAATTTGTTGCCGTTATTTTGAACTTTTGTAAGGGGTGCGAGAATATATCAGAAGTATTTTAGGGGTGCAGGGTATAGAAAAGGTTGGGAAGCACTGGCCTAACTTTTTGATAACTATGAGCACAGATTCCAGATTGAGGTTGCTAGAGATTTGCCTCGGTGTGCAGGCAAATTAGCTCCTGACTGGACTGTGATTTAATCAAGTAGCAAATATGCAGGGGAAATTAGTAGTCAGTAAAATATAAAACACGAACTACAGAAACCTTGGTCCAAATGAAGTGCACTCCCACCCCAAAAAGTAAAATTTTAGCATATTACATTATTGAGAAAAATTAGATAAAGAGAATTTTATAGACACCCTTAACTTTATATACTGAAAAAGTTATAGCCTACAAGTCAGCTGCTTATTGTAATAAAGTAGTTATTGCTATTTTATTACTTGTAGCTACACATGCTTATGGAATTTGTATTTTGCTATTTCCAATGTAAATTGAAATCATGTGCATCTCTGAACATAATTAATCCTTGGATTTTCTGTCCAGATTTCCTTTAAAATTGATATTTTTAGAAAAAAAAGACATTTAGAAATATGCATTCAAAAATATCCCTTTTAAAGTGAATTTTCCTAGAACAAGTTTAGATCAAACCTGACTTGATCTAAACTAATGATACACACTGTAGAAGAAAGTTTCATACAGGTAAATCTTAATTATGCATTAGACATCCATGACATATGCAACCTAATAGGACATTAATGACATGCAACTTTATTAATACATTATTGAATGTGTCAATTTTGTCTTAATACAACCAGAATATATTATAAGATTATGGTGCAATCTTATATAGTATATGCCTAATCAAAATAAACTGTAACAAATTCAGTGCATCTTAATCCCACATCTGAAGCCTTTGAAAAAAAGTATAATTCTGACAGAAGACAAATCTGCTTAACTTTATTGCTAGATTATTGTACTTCAACATGTCTTCCCTTCAGAATGGAAGCCAGTTTGGTGACTTTGGGGCTAGCTACTCTCTGTAACCGCAACCCACTTCCCATGGTGTGTTGCTGTGGGGAAAGCAGGTGGTAGGAATGTTATCACCTTGAGTAGTGAAAAAAAAGGCAGGATTTAAATAAATATCCAATCCGTTTCTACCTCTTGTGGTTGTTATATTGATGATTCCTGATTGTATAGGTTAACACAAACTGCTTTGAAAATAATACAGAACAAAAACAAATGGTCTATATACAGGTGTTCTTAATATTCTTAAGAGCTTTTCTTAAGTTAGCCCATTTTTGGCAGACCATGTTGGAGGTGATAATTATCTATTATCCCATTTCTCGTAAGGGCCAACCACTTCCCTATGGAAACAGGTAAGGAAGACATTGTCTTCCTCTGTCACCCACCTATTTGTATTCAGAGTTGGCAAGTGTGGTTTTGGAAAAAAAAAAGAAACCATCATAATTATTAAACAAAGATACTTTCATCCTCTTTCCTGGATTCAGTCAAATTAGTCAACAAGATGAAAGGCACAGGAACCATGCATAATAAGTGTTCAGTAAAGTCAACTGTCAGCTAATTAAAATAAATTACTCTTAACAGCAATGTTCAACCCGCTCTATGAATAAGAGACTGAATGTTTATCCTCACTGTCATTAAGTTATTGTGTTTTTCTTTTATCAAGCTCTTAATAGACTTCTCCTAGTCATTTCTAATACCTTTCAATTAAATATGCATTTCATATTTAATCTTTAGCCCAAACATGTCAGCTATTTGCCTGAACCTAAGTTCTTTAAGTCAAAATGTGACTGCATCATTCTTTCTAATTTAGTACAATTTGCAATCTGCTAGGTACAAATAAAATCCAGAGTACGCCAGTAGATGACCTGCTACAAAGTATTATAGGTAGTCCTCAACTTACACCATTAATTTAGTGACCAATTGAAGTTAGAGTGGTGATGAAAAAAATTCACTTACAATTGGTCCTCATGCTTAACAATGTTGCAGCTTCTCCACAGTGACATGATCAAAATTCAAGTACTTGAGTGACCTTCCCAGCTGGCTTTCAACAAGCAAAGTCAATGGGAGAAGCTGGATTCAGGGAATGACTGTGGCAAAAAAAGACCAAAAAATTGGGTACAACTCACTTAATGACTGACTCCCTGTACTGGATTGCAGCCCAAATAAAATAAATACAGCTGTTAGACCTAAGCAAGGCATGACAGAAGGAAGAGAGAAAATTATGATATGAAAATTACGAGTTGTGACCACCATCACCACCAGCCTTACAATTCTACAAGCCAAATATAACTTTACAGGGGGAAAATATAACTAATCTATAAATCCTCTGTGGAAAAAACTCATATTGTCACAGAGAATACACCTGCACTGTCCCAGAATGTATGGAATAGCCCCAGGGAAACATGGGACTTGGACTGAATTTTTATCTTTCTTTAGGTTTTTCCTCTCAGTCACATTTGCTTCTTTTCTTCTTCTCATTCCAGAAAAAAGAGGAGCTCCTGTCAACCTAAATCTTGCTGTGCCCAAAGTATACTCTTACTATAGTGGCAGAGCACAGCCATTCTGTCAATACACAATGCTGTAAAGGCAGGGGTAGATGGTGTTTCCTGCCTGAAATTTTAATACAGAAAATGCTGTCACCAAATGCCATATACACTTGCAATACATTGATCATATGTGAGCCAATCAAAAATGGCCACCAGATGGCAGCAGTCTCTCTCTCTCTCTCTCTCTCTCTCTCTCTCTCTCTCTCTCTCTCTCTCTCTCTCCCCCCCCCCCCCCCATGATCGCAGTGTAGTAATTTTGATTTGTGCTACCAAACTACAGTTCCTGTATTGCTGTGTGTGGGAAATGAGTAAAGCTGTGGGGTTCTCCCAGATATCAGCGTCATAAACTCTTCCTGGACAATTCCTTTTGTTAATCAGAGCAGAGCATAAAGAGGTATCGATGACTCATCTGCTTACCTTGGAATGTCTTCGTTAACTACGTGTTTAGAAATGGTCTGTTCTTGTTTGCTTGACCCCAGTAGTTCCAAGATAGGTTTCTCTTGGCTTCAGGACCAAATGGCTAGGAAATCCTAGCCTTCTTTGGTTATTTTTTTTACTAGTTTGGTTAATTTAAGAATGAGTTTGCGCTTCCTAAGCTTCCTTGTTATTTCCATCTCTACTCAGAGCTGAAGTTTTAATTGAAGTCATTCAGAAGAAATGCTGATTTTCTCTGCATTATCCAGAAATATTTATTTCTCCTTAAAATATATTTCTGCATTACATATGACCACTTAGCTCATGTAGGTTTGTGAATGATACTTCTTTTAAATCTCTCTCACTCTGTTTATAGCAGGAAACTTCCAAAATCCTTCACTGCACCAAGAATCTCCCGTGTTTTTCTTTCTTTCTTATTCTACAATTGAACACTGTATAAAGTGAACCTCTGAATTTCCCCTATTTCATACTTCTTTCTTTGAAAATCCAATGCCTTTCTCCCACTTACATCTCTTTTTTTGCCATCAAATAAAACGTTACTCTAAAAACTTTCTGCTCCCATCCCCATTGAAACGACTCTTTGAACTAGTTCTAAGATGCATGAAAGTCATCTGGGTCACTTTGGGTCAATCACTTACTCTCAATCCAATCCACCTCACAAGATTGTTGTTGTGGGGAAAATAGGAGTAAAAAGGAATATTGGTATGTTCGCCGTCTTAAGGTGTTTATGAAAAAAAAGAATAAAAATCTAACCTCCGCTTTGTCTTTTTCTCAATGAACAATGTCCTTAATTCTTATACAATATGATAGCTTCTTGTTTGATATGCATTGCATCTTGAGTAATTAAGATTATCCTTACTTGTTATTTATGTTCTATTCCCTCCAAATTGCTAATTATTATTACATTTCCAATTTGTGAGCCATCAAGAATGCCAAGATTGTGGCAGGATAGAAATTTGATAAATTTGATTGTCTTTATATTACTAATCTTAAATATAAAGTGATTATTAATTGCAGTTTTACACTTTTGGACCTCTGGACACATAAACCTATTTAATAACTCATAATGTAACTATCCCAACAGAAATGGCACTCTGGCAGGCTTTAGTGCGAAATTGACTAACTATTGGATAGGATGCTAGTATGACTTCAGTTTGTAATTAATTAATTGCATTTCAGCAATTAAAAGTAGTAAAGTAAAAATAAAGCTACACGCTCTCAAAATTCACAATTGTCCTACTAATACAACAGAATTATGAAATATTTACATAGCTTTAGATAAATCGAATGAATCTGTTATTCACTTATGATGTACAGTATGGTCATACCACTGTAGTTTACAAATATGTGACAAGACTGCAAAATAATAGAGAAAGATTCCAAATTTGATTTACATTTTTAGTCTCCTTAATATAAAAGTATCTTTTCCCCCTTCACCCCTGAGGTATATATATTTGAGTGCTGCTAGATAAGTCCAGTAGACTGCCTTGAGTTTAGCTTTCCTATAGCAAAGTTGTACTTTTATAACTTAGCAATAGCAAGAATATGTTAACCTTAACCTCTTATTATCATAGGTTACTTTAAAAAAATAAATAGACTATGCTTGAATTTCTGGAAGGGATTCAGTGAAGTCTTTATAATATATTATACTGTTTTTAATCAAATATTTTTATTAGATTTCCTAGCACCACGTGATAGAGATAATACAAAATGTATTCATCTCCCTGGACAAAATAAAACTGTGCTAGATACTTTCAAACCCCTACTGACTTTCATTTGATTAAAGGAAACAGCTTCATTAGAGGAACAAAGTAGATCAATTCCCTGCAGATCTGAAAGTTTCCCATGTGTATCACTATGTAGGTATGAGGAAAATGCAATATCATTTTATAACTGTCCAGAAACCAAAGTTGTAATATACTTATCTTCTGATGAGATTTAAAATTGTTAGCTCATCAAGAAAAAGTCAGAAACAAATAAAAAAACAGTTTCTGCATTCATTTTTTTTAAAGTTTATTGTTTTATCATAGTTTCTGCATTCGGATAATTTCTTCACTCTCTTTTTCTTAAGTCAGGAGTATTCAACCTTGATGTTTTCTTATGCTATCAATGGCCTATCATTAAATTATTTCTATTGAAGATATGCTAAACATCCACGAATATAGCAAGCAAGAATCAAGTATCTGTATTAGATTCTTTGAGTGATTTGATTGTATTGGATGCCACATTGCTAAGATGACATTCAGGAACGATGGAGTGTTTTCCTAACACAATATCCCAAAATGGGATTAGAACTGAAATAGAAAAAAAAAACATTTTTTTTCCTCATGCATATTAAATTGTTTAGATATTCATGGAATTGTGCATTATATACATATTTAAATCTGTAATAAAATGTAAGTACACTTGCCAATATTTTCTGAAATACAGTGAATAATAACATTTATCCCAATGGGGGGGGGGAGGAAAGAAATACACATTCATACTCATCAGACTATTTCCTTTGCGGGAAAGGACTAGAATACAGAGCACATTAAACAGGAAAGAAATAGTGAAACAAAGACATAAAGAACTGAGATATGAGAAAGGAAAGGAAACATACCTAAAACTGCTCCATAACTTTCTATCCTTAGAAAATATCCTTGCCACCATACCCATACACTGCTTTAGATACAGCTTCTGGTCTCTCACCTTACTCTTTCTGAGGATCTCATTAAATCCCTCCAATCACCACTTTCCTCATCCTTCCCTTTCTCCTGACCTATTCATTCTTTCTTTATATTTTGTTTTGAAATCTGACCTCCATGTATTGTGTGTTATCTGACCAACCCACTTCAGCAAATTCAGCATTCTATGCTGGAGGCTTATTTCTATATTTAATGCCCCGTTCTAACTTTATTTTATATTTACCAGCAACTCTCAATTTCACTTAACAATGTGGACAGGGGCAAACCCTTACATATAGCCATTTTCATTCATTTTAAATTCTTGGTCTAGTGCTTAAGGTACTGGCCTAGGAACGAGAAGACTATGAGTTTTAGTCATGAAAGTCAGCTGGGTGACTTTGAGGCAGTCACTCTCTCCCCCCAACCTACCTCACAGGGTTATTTTTGTGGGGAAAATAGGAGGAGGAAGGAGTATTAGGTATTTTTGTTGCCTTGAGTTATTTATAAATAATAATAAAGGCAGGATAAAAATCAAATAAATAAATTTTCAGATCCATACTCTTTATTGCATCATATAACTTATCTAACATCCTTGCAAATCATTTGGGTTTTCCACCAAGAAACTGGCATTAGTGCATACAAAAATGCAACATTTGCCACTAAAATGCTCTTAACATCCACACAAGCATTCTGGAAGAAGCAGGCAGCCATCACAGAACAGCTCAGTGCACCCATTCTGGAGACACAAAACTTCCCTGAGGGTGGGCTCTAGCACCAGTCCGAAAGCTTGGAAGACTTAAATCTCTGATCACGGTGACCGACTCAGATTGGATCTTGCAAAATCACCCAGCTGGCTTTCATGGCTAAGGTGGGACTTAAACTCATGGCTTCCAGTTTCTAGCCTTAGTCACTAGACCAAACTGGCTCCACTTGTCTGCCTCTTTCAATTTTAACCATTCTTTATTCTTTGGTAATATTCTATTTTTTTTTCTTGTTTTAGTGGTTAAGGTGCACATATAATATTTTTCTTATCCTCATTTTTTTTTGCATAAATCATGCTTTTTAATACCTTTTCATACTTCCATAGTCTTTTATCATTCTGCCATTTTCCATTACTTTTTTTTTTGTAACTCCACACATTTCTGTGATATTCTGATTTATATCTTTCTGTTTTCAAGCAGCTTCCATATCCTTTCCCTTATGTCTATTCATTCTGTTGAGAGATTATTCTACATTCTAACACTGTTCATACAGTATTTGGACCTCTTCACTTTTTACAATAATTCTAATTTTACTCTATTTTCTTTCATTTTTTTCCTTTTTCTTCCATGTTATTTTTTTCCCAAAAAGAAATGGTCTTCTGCATATTCAGAACTTCTCATTATCCTCATCACTAACTTCTCATTAGTTTTAAACTAATTATCCTAATAGTTCATCATAAACAATAAAATCAGTCATGCTTTTAAATTTATATCCATTCTTTTAAAGGTTAAATATGAGTATATTTTTACTTAAAACATGCATCTGAAATACATAGAAGTTTTTTGTAAGTAGAGATATTCCCTAGTCATCCTCTTATTTTTAAATCTGTGAATGACCTACACACTTTTTTTTTTGTAATATCTCATCACCATCCATCAGTTCATGTCACCTAGCAGAATAATTTCTTCCTGGGATAATTTTATTCAGAATCTTGCATAATTTTTCTAAAAACTCATTGCTAGTTCTTCTATTATCACCATTCAATCAAGCATATCATGTACCTATCACTACCCTATGAATTCTTACTTTTGTATGTACCATAGCAATCACGATTATGATAATTCATATTTTCTGACATATTTTAGCCTTTCATTCGTAATTAAATTTACTCCTTCAATTCCCCAACCACAAGATCAAGCCTTTTTCATTAGATCTAATAGAGGAAAATATATATATAGCTCAGGGTTGAACTGTGGAGTCCTTGGCTCTCTCTGAGCTTGGTTGTTTGCTTGTAGATGATTCATTACTCATTTGATCCGTCCTAGTGAGTGTGTGGTTTGCTTTCTGTTTATATAAAAAGCTTGTCATGCCAGAGTTGGGGAGGGTGTGGTTTTTCTCCTTGGTAGAGTATTGTTTTCTGCTTGACTGATTGTTTAATTTTCATTCCTGCTTAACTGGGCGCCGGTTGCTGGAAAGGAAGTGTTCTGGTCTTTTTGTTTCCTCCTTAGCTAACTCCACACTCATTTAGATCTACTACATTATTTCCCTTTCTCATAACTTTCACAAAAATTGTATTATACATTGTCTTTAATTTATTATTTTATATTCTCTTACATTCCTAACAGCAACCTTTGTTATGCCATGCTTATCACTAGATGGGTCCATGTCTATTAATCTCCAGTGCCCATCATACTTTGGGTTGTTTGAGTTTTTCATATTAATTTTTTTTAAGCAAAATGTAGAACTTGCAAGTTATGTATCTACTTGTACATGATATTACCAGCCTTAGTTGTATCTGAATCACACACAGCATTCCCTGCTAATGAAAAGGTCATTTGAGGCAATTTTGCTCCAAGAATGCTCATGTAAGGTATCATCCCTAATCTAGGGATTCCTTTGCAAGCCAACATGATGTTCATGTTCCATAACCTAGGAGATATATGCTCTGTATTGATACAAACTCAGAATATCAACTCAGGAAAAGAAAAATATTTACAGAGTACAGCATAATAATAAATTTGATATGAATAAGTGAAATAAGGTTTTGTCTTCCAAATTGTGGAAAATCTGCTGGCTGCATAGAAATTTGGAAAGTTGATATCCCATTAGAATAGTGCTGCATAAAATTAAATCAGCTGTTCCAAAAATGTCAATATCCTTGTTTGTACTTTTACTCATCACGTTTATAATGTAATGTCTATTACATACATATGAATAATAGGTCAACAAAGACAGAAGATTCATATTTTATTTAATTAAAATTATAAATCATCTGTCCACATACTAGATATTTGTAAAAATATACAATTCATAGATAATAACAACTCATCCATCATAAAGTTGTATGAACAAAAACAATGTAACAAAAATAATAAACTGCAAGTTGCATTGAAATGAGAATGGCAGAGATTATTTAGTATTATTAAAATCTCAAATATTCCATTATTTCTAAAGTAAAAGAGAAAATTAATCTGATCTCTTTGGGTTGTAGTTTCTTAACTGGGGTGCCACTAGAGAAGAGCTCCTGTGAATTGCTACCATACTGGCCTTTTTCATTCTTCTTGGTTATTCCCTCCGATGATGTTTTTTCATTTGTATGTCCCTTTTCAGGACTGGAAAACAAGTGAATTATGGAAGTAAAAAGCAGATAGAATGGTTTACCTGCACCCCAATTTTCCCTGGAAAAGGTATGTGCTCTGGTGAAAAAGCAACCAGCAAAGAAAGTAGCATTAAGAATGGTTTGCTAAAAATGGGAGAAAACAAAATTCTTGTCCGAAAGATTCATGAAAGTCAGACTTGGTTCTGTCCTCTTATTTGTTTCTCCCCTCTTTCAGAGCTATCTCATTTTGTTAAAAAAAAAACAAAAAAAACCTAACTTTTTAAGTTCTTCTATTTATGGACCAGAATGCTAGGTACTGAATGTCCAGCTCAGTGAGTTTCTGTATAATTCTGAACAAGATTCATGAGAATATCTGTAAAAGCTTCCATTTGATGTCTTCTTTCAAATATCAAAACCTGGCTTTGTTGCACCACCAGATCTCACTGCTTCACTTGCCAGGAATACAGATAGTAGTTCTCATAAATATGTCTGCATCTCAATGAGAAATAAATCTTTCCTTAAGCCTTCAAAATATGCCTGGGGGCCCCAAGATGGAAATTTCAAATGAGGCTGAGCTGAGCATCATTGATCTTTTACTTTTCCAGACACAGCAGGAATGTAAGAATTGACCAACCGATTCAATTCTCCATAATGCCAACAACGTTGTAAGCCTGCCGGTGTTGCCTGCAATGAAAAGTTTTCATATTCATCTTATAATTAAAGGCAAATGTGTTGCCTGCTTCATATACAACATATGAAAATGTCATATAACTTATTACTTACTCAATGACCAGGCACAGAACAGAAATACAAGCCGCTTCTTTTAATTTACTAGGTTAAGCACTTGTTCAAATGATATATTTATTTATGTAATACATTCAAATATCCTGCTGTTGCAAAAGATAACAAGAGTAAGTCCTGCTTCAGGGGATTTGACAGTTTGGTTCAAAGAACCAAAGGAAGTTCTATTTCAATGCATATATACCTCTACATCAGTATGTATGAGCCAACATTCTGGGCTTTCCTACAATAAGCAAACTATTACCATGGATCAGAATGCAATACGTACAATGGCTGTGATGAGTAAACTCCTGTCCTCCGATGTAAGCAAAAGTTGATATTCTGCAAGTCAGTATGGTATAATGGCTGGGGTTTTGAACTAAGAGTAAATGGCCTGGGTTCAAGTCACCCTTGGCCGTGGAAGCGTAATGGCCACTTTGCTCTCTTTCAGGCCAACTTCTTCCATAATAGAGGAAAACTGAGAAGGTAGTGCTTCAAAGTCATCTTGAGCTCTTATAGGTCAGATGGACATCTAATGGACAAATTCTTCAAAGTTGCAAATGCGGGTAAAATAATATTTAAGATAAATATATACCACTGTTCTTCCCAAAGGAAGCCTACTTCCAAGAAAGGAAGAAGAATACAGATTATTTGCGAGTTGAGGTAAAGATAATGAAAGAAGCCTTGCTACGAAGCAAAACCTGTATTCCTATTTGCATTTCTTTATTTATTTGATTCCTTTCAAGATGGCGTACAGGTACTCCTTGACTTGTGACCAGTTGCTTAGCGACCATTTGAAGTTATGGTGGGCCTACCCGGAGGCTACTTACAACCTGGATTTGAAGTTACAATGGTCAGAACCCCTCCAAGGTTGCACGGCTGAACTTCAGGAGTTCAGCAACCGGGCCACATTTATGACAGTTTGCAGTTTCCCGTGGTCATGTGAGCATGTTTTACGATGGTTTTGCAAAACACTTGGATTTACTTTTGTTTCTGGCAAAACTGCATCCGAAGTGAACCACTGGTTTGCTTAACAACTGCAATGGCCGCTTTATAACCACAGTGTTTGCTTAAATACTGCTGCAGAAGAAGTTGGAAAAACATGTCAGTCATGTGACTGATCCATTTACAACTATCATGACTTATGACCGTGATGGGAAGGCTCCATTGCCACTATAAGTTGAGGATTACCTGATCACAGTTCTTCCCAGGGCTTTTTTTGTCATAGAATGCCCAGAACAGAGTTCTGGCACCTTTTTTGGATGGAACCTTGTCAGGTAGGCAAGGCGGGTTGTATAATGTGTGTGAGTTCCGGCACTTTTTTTTTTTTTTTTTACAAAAAAAGCACTGGTTCTTCCTATTTCTTCCAAAACAATAACCAGCAACTCTGTGAGGTAAATTGGACTGGGGGAGGGGGATGGGCCCAAATTACCTGAGAGCAGAAAATAAAGGTACAGAAAAAAATTTTTTTGCTTGAAATATATGTGGTTTGTGAAAACAGTGTTAAAATATCTCATAATTCCTCACTGCCTTTCTCATGTTTTTTCCTCATAGGCTTCACTTCTGGGAATGCCTAGCTATTGAAAGATATTCTCCTCTGTATCTGATTTTTCATATGGTAAATTCTGGCAAAAGAGCAGGCTGAGAAGGACCAACCAAATCTGTGCCAAGAACCAATAATCTCAACCAAGGTAACTGTTCTCTATATATAACCAGATACCTTTGTTCAATAAACAGAATGAAAAAAGATACTGTGTTCTTTTATCAAAAGGAGCATTGTCAAGATGCCTTCAAATGATTTTTTAAAGAAGATTACATTTTTCTAGTTTGGCAAGATAAAGATAAAGATCAAAAACTAGCAATTACTTTGTTCTATACTGTTAGGGATATTTCTATTGAGCCTTGATTGTCACTATTGACAACTCCACAGCTATTTCCCCAAAATTCTGTATGTTTCAAGGTTCCAAAGAGGCTTGTCTGCTACAAGAACAAACATTCAGAGGTTCTTTGTTCTTCCCAAATGACAGTCTATGCACCGGCTCCTTGGCATTTCAACATCATGATTTTGATATGAAGAATATAGGGATGTGCAAAAGGTTCTGGGCCAAACTATTCCACGCACAGAATAGCAGTGCTCACATGACCCTGTGCCTAAACTCAAACCCAGCAGAACAAACTAAGTTGGATTTGCTCCATGCACAGAATGAAATGGGGCTATTTGTCATAGGCAGAATAAGTGGAGGAAGTGAAGAAAATCCAAGTTTAGTAGCTAAAGGACGGGGAAAAAGGGCTGGGAAGTCAGGTAGTGATGGGATGAAATGGTGGGAGATACTTTTCCTCACTGGGGAAAGTGGCTGAGTTTAGAAAGGGAAGGAATGGGTGGCTAAAAGAAGGGAAAGAGGTATTCTGTGGTACAAGCTGTGGAAAGGAAATGGAGCATTTTGACTTATTTTCTCCATCTCTATTTTCTTTCATCATTTTGGATTTCGTAACTGGCCCAAAACAGTTTGTCAGAACCTCTTAAATACAGTGCTTCCTTTTGGAATTGGAAAGAAAATACAGTGATAGAAAAATTCAATATCTACTTTAAAAGTTTCATAGAATTTCATATAATTTTTATTTTAAATTGTTTTTGCTAGATTTAGCTAGATCTTGCTACTATTCCAGTGGTGGCGAACCTATGGCACGGGTGCCAGAGGTGGCACTCAAAACCCTCTCTGTGGGCACACGAACCGTCACCCCAGTCCTAGGCCTTCAGCCGGGTTTTATAAAACCTTTTCACTTTAGGCCTCCGCTGCCGTGTGCAAAAAAAAAAAAAAAAAAAAAAGGTTCAATCAATCAGTCAATTTCAACTTCTTGCGGGAAAAAAAAGATCTTGCAAAGTTGGAATTGATTGATTGAACTTTTTAGTCCCACCCAGCCTGCCATTACCACCGCAACCACGCCCACCCAATGGCCCACACCCACCCAATGGCCACACCCACCCGGCACCCGACGATGTATAAATGTGTTTTCGGCTACAGTTTGGGCACTCTCTAAAAGGTTCGCCACCACTGTACTATTCCTTCAGGAATGCAGGGTAACATGCATAATGCTCCTTTCCTCTCATTCCCCCCCAAAACAGCACCCCAAAAATCATTTAATAAACTTCAGTGGATGATGACAGACTTGAACACGGGTTTTTCTGATGTCTGTCCAATACCCCAACCACAAATGGGCCTTATTTTTTCTTCTAGGATTTTGGGTTACTACAATTATATATTACTTTTTTAAAAATAGCATATTTGAGGAAGTAATAACCCATTGGAGGGGTAAAGTACATACATGCTGTTTATCTCAACACATCTGAATGAAATCTTAAGCTTCCTTTTCAACAGGATATTCTTAGATGATTTTGTCAGAACCACAAGGACTTCCAATTTACAAAAAACAAAACAAAACAAAAAAAAAACCTCAGCCATGATGATCACAGCAATCTTCCATCTTCATTTCTTCAGAGTACATCTGGACTCTTGAAATTGTTAGGAAATGTCAAACGTAAAAGGTAAAGGAGTCCCTGTGGGTTTTACTAGTTTTTGCTGACTATAGTGTAGTGATGCTCATCTCTGTTTCAAGGCTATTGACCCAGCGCTGTTTGAAGATATTTCTATGGCCATGTGGCCAGCATGACATCACAGAGCACTGTTATTTTCCCACCAAAGTGATACCTATTTATCTACTTGCATTTGCATGCTTTCAAATGCTAGGTTACCAGGAACTGGGATGAGGATGGGAGCTCACCCTGTTACATGGCACTCAGACCTCAAACCTGGGTTGCTGGCTTTTCAGACGAGAAGCCCAGCATCTTAACCGCTGAGCCACTGTGCCACCTTAGGAAATGTCAAGGCCCACACATAACCCTTAAACAACTAGGAATTTCCAAAGAAAATTCATCAAGTGTGTGCTACTGATACTCAGCAGCATTCCCCCCCCTGCAATTTATTTTACATAAAAGGTAATATAAAGTAGTATGTTAAGCTTCCACTAGGGCAGGGGTCCCCAATCCTGGTCCGTGGACCAGTACCAGGCTGTGGCATGCCAGCAACTGGTCCGCACAAACAAGCAAAGCCCCATCTGCGGGATGCAGGCAACACACAAAATCATGCACTCTCCGGTCCACAGAAAAACCTCTCTCCATGGAACCAGTCCCTGGTGCCCAAAAAGTTGGGGACCTGTGCACTAGGGTTAACATACCTACTTTGTCTTTAACCCAACCAAATGCCAAAAAGCTCAATCACACTATTAACTATAAATTCACTATTGCATCTTTACAGGTTTTAGAAATCCGAACTTTGTACTATCCAGCCACAAAAACATTGCCAAGAAGGACAAGAAGAGGGAATCATTTTGGATTATCCTTCAAGGACTGAAAACAAATGGATCAATTGATGCACTAGTTCATTTTTTTAATCAGACTGAAACAGATTTAATTTATCTAATGCC